ATGATGGATTAGCTTTAACATCAAGTTTGGTTTGGCATCTCTTTATCATGCGAATGTAAGACTTTTCCTGCATTCACTGTCTGCAGAAGTCTTACATTTAAACAAGCTCTTTATATCTTTATATATTGTACATGCATACATAAATTATAGTTTTGAAATGTTTAAAACATACATATTTGAAAATGCATAATTTCAATGTTAAAATAAAGCACTACACTAAATAAATTAGCCTATTTATTGTTGACTATTTTTGTCTTTCTTGGTAAAAGACTACCAAAATTTATATAAACATTTAGTTTCCAGGCCGACTTTATACAACGTTTCTCAGTTGTAAGTGATTTGTTTCTCTAAGGAGGGGATTGGGTTTAAGGCCATGTTATTTGTCCTTTTTCCACTCAATATGCCATTATGTAATGTCTCATATTAATTCAAAGCAAATAATTTATGCACAGAACTCCCTTATTAAGCCAGGGTCCTCCAGAAAAGCCTTTGTAAATAAACGATTTAGTGTAATCAATTTATGCTGCTGTGGGAACATTATTTTAATTTCCTCTCAAGTGACTTGTGCTGGTGCGCTGTGTGAAGACAAACTCTCAGCCTGTGCCCTGCACCGTGTCAACTTTATGATGATGGAAGCTGCCATAAAGATCACAGCAAATCTGTTTGGATGGTGTGCATGTGACGACCCTTACAGCTATCTGTCGAAGCATGTTCTGTTTTCCATGCTGAATACAAACCAGAACATGCTTTTCAAAAGGACTCATTTGATTCTTTTTCAGAAGATTTTCCATTGACTTCCAGTCCTCCAGCTCTGATGTGGCTCACCACTACAGAGCCTGAAAGAGTCGGTCATATCAGCCATGCAATATCTGACACCTGCCTCTGAAATGTTTTCGACCATGATGCTTTCCAGGTACAATCAGCACCAATGATCTCGGCTGGCCAAGTGCACTCAGTGCACTTGCACAGCATGACAGATGTGGCTTCATTACTTGGCCTTGTTCTGCAGCATTCGTATCACAGAGTATGAGCTTACAGCTTTGTGAGACAGGATAATGGATGTGGACTATTGTAAAATACAGAACCTACTAACCTATTTTACATTCATTGTTTGTTACAGTGGTCATGATAATACTGTCACAGTATTTTCAGTAAACAGTCATGTATTTTCTATGAAAATTGGACTGAGAGATTGCACCTTATGTTTGCAATAGTGTGTCTTATTATGCTGGCTGTAACTCAAATCAAATCAAATGATAATCAAATAACAAAAGAGCATTATAACCAGCATATATCTGCCACAGTGAGGTTATTGAAGATCTAAACTAGGCATGATAGATTAGCTTCAACGTCACACTGGGCTTGGCATGTCTTTATCATATTCCATATTGTGGACATTATCAGAAGACTGTTCTTGGCATCATTTTCATTGACATGTTAGGTGCATTAAAAAAATCAGTAAGCGTTTTAAAAATGTTTTTGAAATAGGCTCTTATACTTACCAAAGCTGTTCTTATTAGATCAAAAATACAGAAAAAAATAGTAATATTGTGAAATATTATTTCAATTTCAAATTATGGTTGAATATATTTTAAATCATCAGTTATTTCTTTGATGGCTAAGCTGAATTTTCAGCAGCTGATCCTTCAGGAATCATTCTAATATGCTGATTTGATGCTCAAGAAACATTTGTTACTATTATTAAATGCTGAAAACTGTCGTAAAGTTGTGAATATTTCCAGGAATCTGTGAAAATTATTCATTTCTTTCTTTCTAAACAAATAAAGTCTAACATTTTTTATTAATTAATTTATTTATTTATTTATTTTAGCCGGGATCAGGTCAGACTTGTGGGAGCTAATATATTAAGATGCAATAGAACTCAGTTATTGTTCACTCCCATTTTTGGAATAAATTAAATGTAAATTGAATATAGCACTATCTTGTTCACCATGCTTGTGTCATTATCTGATTTCCATAATTTCTTTGGTGAATTGGCTGCTAAAACAACAGCGCATACTAATAAACAAAGGTTGGGATGCTTCAGATTAAGTATAGAGCTGCAGATACTACATATAACTAGGAGCAACACAATGTTCAGAAAACTTTCACATATTTTATCACTAGTACTTCTGGTGTTTAATAGTATCTTATATTCTGTCCTTTTGTGACTGCAGCTTATTTGCAATAAAATGGTTTCAAATGCTCTTTCTCACTGGGAAATATTTAAGTTCTGAAAGTATGTTTTGAACCCTTTAATCTCAAAGACAGTTTGACGATGAACACCTTAAGAATGAATTCACTTACAATTTGGAGTACCGTGGTTTACATTTCTTTATTAACACTGAGTCCTCAAAAAAGCAATTGTATGGAGATTATGTAACAGGGTTTGTGGCTTTATTAAAACAGTAGTGAAACATGGTTCAACCATAATCATAAAATCATCTAACAACAGCCCCAAGAACAATGATATGAATTAATAAGTTCCTTCCGTTGTGTGATTTTGAAGGAAATGACTTGCCAAAACATTAGCTGCACGTCTAAACAAACCGCTTGGACTGAGACAAAAAACCTGCAATTAGTTGATAACAGTGTTTGCAGAAATTCCTGCTGGCACATCAGAGAAAGCTTTGCTTGCTTTCCTGTCTGGCAAAGATGTCTATTAGGTTAAAATTGGTTAATTTTGCTGAAGGCAAGAGCAATTGTTATACACATGCCCAATCATTGGACATAAATGGTATCCGAACATGATACACGGCAAGTTGAGTTTCTGATATGATCGTTGCACAGGGAGAGAGCCGTATATGGAGTTTTGATCAGTACAATGATTACCCCAAAAAAGACAAATTTTTATAGTAGATATGTCAGATAGCTCTGAACAACCAAAATAGCTAATTGAAACAGTCACGCTATACTTAATGCACTTATACTTTATAATATTGCATGTTTCTGCCAAGTAATAAAAAAGGTCATTGTAACTTTTTATCTCACTATTTGGACTTTTTTTTCTGCAATTCTGTGAAAAGTCTAAATTGCGAGATATAGGCCTTAAACCATTGGCCTAAACATTGGCCTTTTTCACAATTCACAGTTTATAGAATTGTGACTTTTTCCCTCAACGTTTTTTCTCTAAATTCTGAGTTTACATTTTGCAATTCTGTGATTCTGCGATTTTGTAACCGAGGAGGAGCGAATGTAATTTGTGCCTAATGGATGGAGCTAGCATATCCAACCACACCCTAACCATACCCATAACTCTATCCCTCCACCCCATTAGACGTCCAGAGAGGAGGCCCTGATAGCACACGTACATCACGGAGATGTCTTTTTTTTAGAGTGTTTGCTCATCTGCAAAATGTCTATAGGACGTTTCCTATCAGAAGTCAAATAGATGTTTAGAAAATGTCTTTAAGATGTTTATGATTTAGAATGTATATGAAACTGACATCTGAAAGACATCTATCAGATGTTTGTACACAGCAGATGCTTTCCAGATGAAGCGATCTTTAACAGACATCTTGCAGACGTATGTGCACTATCTGGGTCGTAAATTATATCTGGAGAACAGACCGCAAATGTTCAGTATGTTGTCCTTTTTCATACTATTACAGTGGTATGCAAAGAAAAAAAAAGAAAAGAATCATGAGGAAAAGAATGCAGTTGTCACAATCTGTGATGGCGAGGAACGATGGAGACGAGGAATAAACGAAACAGTCTTTAATCCATGGAACACCGGGTACATCAACACTGGAAACAGCAGGAAACACATCAACGTAATGAGTAGAACCAACTGAGACAGACTGCACAGACTAGGACTTAATTACAGGGGATGATTGGGGAAACACAGATGTATGGGATGACTAATCAAACTAGTAACAAAACGAGGACAGGAACATGACCAAATCAGGGAACAGAAACAGGGACAAAACATGACACATCCTGACAGTGATAATGGCTCTTGCCATATATATTCTTGTTATAACATGTCACGTTAAAATACCATGAGTTACATTATTCTCATTATATCTGAAAATAAATCATGAAGGAAAATCGACAACTCATTCAGTCAAATAGACGGATAAGCTTTATTTGTAGGGCAACCTTATGGTTTAAAATGATTAGTTTTAGTTTTTTTGAATGGAAGTTCCATAATTCAAAATGCAAGAATAAGGTGGATAATAAGTTTGCAAGTTCAGCAATGAAAGTGGCTTAAGCATACAAACCCTTCGCCTACCAACTGCTCTGTGTTTGTCCAATCCATGAACATTGCCACTGGCCACGTTTGCATTATTTAGCATAGCATTATTGAATAACATTTATTCCTCACTAAATATACAGTATCTGGAAACAAACAAAAAAAGTTTAAACATTGCTGTAGCGTGACGCTCCTATTATCACACTATATTTCATAAAAAATAGATTGTATGGGGATGTTATGAAAGTCACATGCAGACCATATGCTACCCAGATTATATAAATGCTTCATAGCATTGCTTGTTTTATTGATGACTCATTTATTGTAGCATGACAACTTGCTGTATGGTTTAATTCTGATGAAAACAGCATTCTTTAGTTTACAGTAAATGCCGTAAGTCAGGTAGTTCGGTCGATCAATAAAAAAAAGACATTTACAGTGTAAGTTTAGACAAATGCAATGCCCTTCTGGTGAAATGTAATTATGTAATTTTAGTAAAACACTGACTTAAATTATAGTTGGGAGCAGATTATTCATTGAGGGTGTTTATGAAAACAACAAAACTCAACCATAAATTTTACATAAATCTTACTGTTGTAACAACAACAGCTCATATTGTTTCTCCATTTTATATATATATATATATATATATATATAAAATGTCCTCTCTTGTGTTGATTATCTCGCTCTCTCAGCTCCGATTGTAATTGCAAGCCAGGACTTGATTGGCTCTTCAGTTGTTGGCTTTGGGCCAGCAGACTTTCTCCATATAATAGAGGGAAGCAGGACGACAGCTTCTAAAAGAGAGAGCAGGCAGACAACTCCTGGTGGTGGACTAACTGTGCAAACCTAAAGTGAACAGCTCAGATAATGTGTAAGGGATTAGCTGCCCTGCCCCAGACATGTCTGGAAAGGTAAGATCTTCAAAGCATCTTAGTATCATGGATTAATTAAAAATGTACTCCATGATATGTTATCTAGATAAGTCGGTTGGCAGCCTCCTTTGGGAATCAGTGCTTTGTTCTGGAGCAGCTGGGGATTCTCAAAATACCATTTTGAGAAAGTATGTATGGTGTTTTGTATTAGGTTTAGGTCTGAGTAATGATATGGGAAGACATTATTCATTATATGGCGATTAAGAGTTGTCTTTTGGTTAAACATTTGCATTTATACAATGTCAATTGTATAGAAACTGAAGAATTGTATCTGTTGTATAGTAAATTTGTATTGTATTGTACATTTTACGTTTATCTTATTTTCCATTTAGATACATTTACATTTTTTTCCCCTAGTTTTTTCTCTGAAGACATCAAGGTTCCTCAATATTACCAAAAACCAGAACTTAAAATTGTTTAGTTCTCTGTTAATTACAAGATTTGGAGCAGAATTCCTGAGAACAGACTTTCAGTATAGCAATGAGGACATTTATTGTGACTATTGAGCCATTCTCTGATCAAATAATTGTGCTATTGGCTCATTCGTTGTGTAAACATATGTTTATCACTGTTCTTGGCTTTGGTCTTAATGCTTGGCCCAGGGCCTGGAGTACTTCTGAAAGTGTATTTGTACATCAGAAAGACAGTTTTAAGATGGCAACATGAGGTGGTTTATAATGTAGCATTATATAATTAAACCATAAAATCGTAATTTTAATATATGTGCTTTTAAGCTGAGAATTGTGTGTATTGACGTCAGTATTTTTGGAGCAGTAGATCTGTCTGTGGCGGCAAGATGTTCATGAAACCTCAACAAATCACCAAGTTTGTTGACGTCACTTCATCCACAGTCATCTGGGAGGAATATGTGCCTCCTCACAGATGAAAAAAAAAAACATACAAAAGGATATTGTATCTGTTTTTAACTCTGCAGAGAGTGTGAAATAGTTCTGAATAGATGTGAATTGAACACCTTCAACATGTGTTGTTTTGTTGTATCGTCTGTCAAAATGTGGTTATTACTGTACTGATGACAGCTATACAGGTCAATAATAAAAGCTTTCTATAGCTGACGTGCAAAAGGATAAAAAGACTAAATGAAACAAATTATCATTCTCTGAAAAACAATATGTGTACTTTGAGAGAAGAAAATAGATGACGCTAGGCTGATATTATATAATCTGTTGACAGGTATGTTGTACACTTTGGAAATATCCTCGACATTTATTTTGAAATTCAATTCATACATAACGTAAATCATTTATTAGTGTACGTTAAAAGCACTAATGGACATCTCTATGGATTTGTGTTTGTGCTGTCTTCAGGGCTAAGGAGATCAAGACTAAATTGGGAACTCTGCTTCAGAAGCCAGAGAATTCCATCGACCTTATTATCCCCTACCAAGAAAAGCCTGAGAAGAAACCAGAGAAGCTTCAGAAGTGAGTTCCTGTTGGCTCCGTTAACTTTCCCTCTGATGTTATACTTCCTCTCTCTTTTTCTTTTCCTTACTGATGAGGACTTCAGCTCTGCATGTGTCTCCTCACATGCCTTGCATGTTCATTTAGACCAAAAAGTCTAAGTATACAAAAAGCTCCCTTAAGCGCATGTCACCATTCATATTTTTTAAAGTTTCAAAATAGAGCTGAACCGACCTCTCAAAATTGTTCTGTTTGCACTTAAAGGTGGAAATCTCAGGATGATTGTTTTATGTTTTCAGGTGGAAACTGTCCACCTAAAACGGTGGAAATCATCAACCATGATGTTTAAAGGTGGAAATCACCTCAGGATGTTTGTTTGGTCTTTTCAGGTGGAAATCATTCACCTGAAATGGTGGAAATCATCCACCATGATGTTTAAAGGATGGTTTGATGTTTTTAAATAGTCATCCTGAGATGCTTTGCACCTTTAAGTGCAAACAGAACATTTCGGGAGCTCAGTTCAGCTCTATTTTGAAGTGTCTCAAGGGTCTCCAAATTGGTAACCACTGGTGCTTACTGGACAAAGCGGTAAATCCAAGGTACTCATGTTGTCGAGATAAAAAAAAGTCTTTATTCCACAGGCCATTGAGAATCTTAATGTCATTTTTCAAGCACATTTCGACTAACAAGCCTTCTTCAGGGTGCATTACTATAGTCCCTGAGATATATTTTATGTCTTTGTAGTTAAATGCTGCTGTTCACCATGTTTTAACACATAAATAGAAATTTAAGTGGGTTTTAAAGAATCTGTATGAGATGTCACTAATAACCCCCATCAATTAGAAGCTTGTATTGTAGCTAACTCTTTTTAAGCATTCTGCTCTATTCAAGTGTTCAAGCATTCTAACTTGAAATTACGAGGTTCTTACTTTTGAAGCTACAGCAAAGTAGCAAAGTTCAGTGTGAATTCATCAAAAAGCATGAGAATAGAGCACATGAACTACCTATTCGTCTATTAAAACGCCCTTAATTACACAGATTATCAGACGTCACTAAAAGGTGGACGTGTAGAGAAAAGGGCTGAAAAGTAGAGAGCAAGGGAGTCAGAGAGAAAAAAATTGAGGAAGGCCATGTTAGTACATCCTGTAATGGAAAACTGCAAGAGTCTGTTTATAATGAAAAGTGTGTCCAAATTGACCGTAAAAACATTTGCAGACCACTTCAGCTCCCTTTAACTTACGTAATGCCTTATGCAAGTGTTGTTAATAGGGTTGAATTTTTTCAGACAGAATAAAAAAACTATATGAAATATCCCAATCACAAGATGAGACATGTGCATTAAAAACACAGTTACATCAGAAATCAAGTCAGGCCGAAAGACTTGGATAATACCTATTTATACAAGAGATGTGGAAATAAAATAAAATTAGAACAATTTCTTTAGCAGATCATTAACTTTTTTGGTTATAGTGGACAGTAAGTGCATATATTGCTAAAAATGCCCTTTATTTATTTCATATATCATATTTCTGGACCACATTACACATAAACAATTATACCAATTATTGTGTATAGATACAACTTGTTGGCCATATACAAAGGGTAATACAACTAAGTGAAGAAATCTGCTTGTTTTGTTCAGACCCACACCTGAAGAAGCAGCCCAATGGCGCGAGTCCCTTGATAAGGTCCTTTCCAACAGCTGTAAGTATGATGTTTATCTTAATGGCCATTCGGTTGCATTTTGCATCTTGAAAGTTCTTCCAGGCATGAAGGTTTAGCTTATCAGTTGAGTACGTAAAACACATTTTAAAACTTTGTTTATATTTGTCAGTTTAGAACCTCTGGAAGTATATTAGTTGCACTGATGCACTTGATTCGGCATGCGTAAACAGCTTTTGCTTGAACAGACACATTAACCTTTACAAGCTACACATCTACGAGAATGTTCCTAACAGTAGTTTATATCTATAAAAAAGAAGATTATTTCTGACACATAGATAAACAACCATTTTCTAAATGACTTATAGACTTCTAGTGTTTTCATGTAGAGCTAATTATAAGGACTAGAAAACTTTTTGCTTTTTTCAGATTTTGCATATTCTAATTCTGTGACCATCCTTATTGAAATTAAAGCTGCTCTACATAACCTTGGCCTCTCTATCATCACATGTGGTTGAAACAAAAATTGCAAGGTAGATCTTCTCCATGGATGAATCTAATGCAAATTGCCCAAAACAAATCCTATAAGAGGTATATCCAAAACATGTACTGCCGTAGTAGCCAGAAAATATTTTCCATATGCAAATGAGATAAATGAGGTAAACCTGAAATATCTCAACACACTGAACTTGATTGCTCAAAATATAAATTATTATTGTATGCTTAAGGCCTGTTCACACCAAAGACAACTAGTTTTAAAAATAATTTTAAAAGAACAGTCCACACCACAACTATAATTATAAAAGAAGAATAACTTTAAAGAGTTTGAGAATTCAAAGCAGCAGACAGCAAAACAAGAATGTTGTCATCTGTTGCTGTGAATACTATTTATCATTATAGTTATCATTCTTGGATTAAATGGGCCTTTGCTTTGTGAATCTACACAAGTACAGAAGAACACAGTCTGAACAACGATTGCTTCTGTAGTCCAGCTTTAAAGTGTATTCAGTAAATGATCAAACTCTTTATCATTTTCTGATTCGTTGTTGGTTCTTTACAAAAAACCTATAAATAAACAAAATGTCAAAAAAGATCCTTTGTCTGCACAGAAGGGCTGAATTAGTCAATTATAGTAGGGAAAACAAATATTTGTTATTCATTCAATTATTTGTTTCAAGGCCAGTTTGTTATGTTTAATTATAACAATTTGCCTTGGAAAATTTTTTCATTTTATTTCAGAGTGGATTGTTTGCAGATTAGCCTAATCAGTTCGTACTGCATTATATATATATATATATATATATATATATATATATATA